CTTAGTCTAAAAGGTTTAGGAAAGTACTCCTGGAGAAGGAAGCCAAAATATGAAAGAAGAAAAAGAGAAACGAGTGGGGGTTTGCCAAACAGGTTGGGAGACAGGCAAAGGGAAAAGATGTTTTAAGACTCTGAATCACCAAGGAACATTAAAAAAAAAAAAACTAAACAAAGGTCGAGGGAACTGTCTTGTTTCAACTAGGACAGCAGCGTAAGGTTACTCTAGCCCCCAAACATAGCAGTAGTCAACCTCTAGGGGGTGCAGGAACACAAGGTGCATCCTAAGTAAACCATCAGAAACTTAAATATAAAGAGGCCATGAAAGTTACACCATTCACAGGATTATTTCCTTTTTAAAACAAAAAAGGAGGGCTTAATCTTTAGTCCTTTACTTGATATATCTTCATCCTTCACAATCTCTCAGCTGAAATGAGAGCTTCACCCATTTTTTCCCTTCTATAGGACAGGCAGGATTAATCTGGTATCACAAATAGATGTTCCATCAAATAATTATAGAAATGGTATGCGAAATATAGTTACCTGTGCCTTTGATCTTCCAACATGTTTCTTTTGAAACAAAAACTGTCTGTTGAGGTTGCTGACATCAATAGTATCCAGATCAATCTACAAACGCATAAACCTCAGATAAATGACAAATGTTTAGGTATGTTTGAGCTGTATCACTACTCTCTGAACCTATAATCCAGAACTTTTGATACTTGCTACATCAGTGGAGAAAACGTTTTACGAATCCGCCATACTAAAACTGTTAAACTGATAAAGAATAACTTAATGCATGTAAGAATCTAGATTTAATGTCAGAGATAACCTTCAAAAATACTTTGAAAGAATGGCATATTTTGTTTGTTTAATCATCCTGGCAAATATTTCAGGAAATGCCTTGGATGCCATAAAAATATGTGAATTTATTAAAACTATATGTGCTGTCGAGGTAAACACTAAATATATTAAAATATTTCTCTATGCCGGGAGTGGTGGCTCACACCTGTAATCCCAACACTTTGGTAGGATGAAGTGAGAGAATCGCTTGAGCCCAGGCGTTCAAGATCAGCCTAAGCAAAATAGTAAGACCCTGGTGGCTACAAGAAATAGACGAATTAAAATTAGCTGGGCATGCCTATAGTCACAGCTACTCGGAGGTTGACGTGGGAGGATCACTGGAGCCTGGGAGGCCGAGGTTGCAGTAAGCCGAGATCAGGCCACTGCACTCCAGCCTGGGGGACAGGGCGAGACCGTGTTTCAAAAAACAAAAAACATTCAAGTATTTCTTTCAATCGAATTACTCTTTCAAATACAAAATATTAAATTTAACTGTGTCCTGTTCTTTTTGTTTTTTGAGACAGGGTCTCGCTCTGTTGCCCAGGCTGGAGTGCAGTGGTGCAAACACAGCTCACTGCAGCCTCGATCTCCCAGGCTCAAGCGATCCTCCTGACACAGCCTCCTGGGGAGCTGGAACCACAGGCGCACACCACCACACCCCGCTAATTTTCTTTTCTTGTAGAGACAGCGTTTCTCTATGTTGCCCAGGTTGTCTTCTTTCTCTTAAATGATACATGGCAAACGTTTATTGAATTTTTGCTCCCTCCCTTGATTCAAGCCTTCATCCATACACAATTTCATTTACTATTAATTAACCTAAGAAATGTGAAAGGAAACTTTTCCACATGGTTAAAAAAGTGTCATAAGTTTTATTTTTGGTTAAATACATAATACATAAAGGAAAGAAACAATGATTCAGTCGGCCATCTGTACTTTTTTGTTCATTCCATGTTTCTACTAGCCCTTAAGACACTTTAACACACCCAAGGGCCAGTAACATCTCCAAACTCTAAAAAGTTTGCATTAGTAGAAATAACTTGATTCAAAATAGCACTGGCTTGTCACTGTACACCAATGCAAAGGGCACAATTCTAATGTCTTTAATGAAACAAGCCAGTGTACCGTCTACTGTGAGAGCAATGACAGGCACGCAGCCCGCGGGAGCCCTGCCACTCGCTCCGAGACCCAGGGTAAGTTACTCAACCCCATTGCGTCTCCCTTTCCTCATCTGTTAAAAATAAAGCAGGGTGGAAATAGCGTTTGCACTCCTCGGGTGGTGTGAAGATGGAGCGCGTTCCGTGTGTAAACCTTCTCGTGACCAGCGCTTGGGACGCGTTGGTCGCTATCATCGCCATCCTCTGCCCCGGGTCGTTACTTCGGAGTTAGGAAGGGGACCTCCAAATTAAAGTCACAACATCCGCGAGGGACTCAGTCCTCTCCCGCATCTCCTAACACCCATGGATTTGTTTTGAAGGGAGGATACGAGGCGGCTTCACGCCCTCGAAGCGCCACACATTGGCGATGCCGGGGAGGCGGGGGCCCGCGGCCTCCTCTGCGTCCGGAGCCGGCCCAGGGAGCGGAGGCCCGCCCCGTGCCCAAAGAACAGTCCCCTCCCGCGGGGGGCCACAACCCGGGCCTCTCAGCCTGCCCCCGCCCCGCAACTCCGGTCCTGGGCTCCTGGCCCTGAGCCTCTGAGCCCCTCGAGCCCCGGAACCCCCGAACTCCAGCCCCCGCACCACAGCCCGCCATTCACCCGCGCGTGCCCGGCCCTCACCAGGTCGATGTGGGAGAAACCGGTGAGCACGAGGTTCTTGAGGAGCTCGCAGCCGATGCCGCCCGCCCCCACCACCAGCACTCGGCCCCCGGCCACCGCCTCAGCCAGCTCCCGGGGCAGCCCCCGCGACAGTGCCATGGCGGGACAACCACGAGCCGCGGCGGAGGCGGAGGCGGGAGAACCAAGCCGCGGCCGGAAGCGGGTGGGGGAAGGGCGGCCCGGTTTCCGCTCCTGCGCACTACGGCCTCCCAGCAGACAGGCGGGGCCCAGTGCGCGGGGATGTGCGGCAGCCCGCGGGAGCGAGCCGGCACTTGCTAAGGGCTGGCGACCTCCCGCTGAGACCGGTGGTGTTATTCCCACACCAGCATAGGCCTGCCATGAGACCTAAAAAGTCCAGGGGTCGCCTTCTAGCCTGGGGTTTCAACTCCCAGCCAAGACTTCCTTACAGGTTAGAAAACTGATGTCCCTATATGTAAGGAGCTCTTACAAATTAACAAGGGTCACCCCCCAAAAAATACAGGCAAAGGATGTGAACAGGAAACTCACAAAAAATTGGACAATATGATCAATAAGCGTATTAAAATGTAAACCACAAAAGAATTGCTTGAACCCTGGAGGTGGAGGTTGCAGTGAACCAAGATCGTGCCACTGCACTCCAGCCTGGGTAACAGAGCAAGACTCCGTCTCAAAAAACAAAACAAAACAAAATGTAAACCATGCACAATGGTAAGATTTTCACCTGCCGGGCGCGGTGGCTCCCGCCTGTAATCCCAGCACTTTGGGAGGCTGAGGCGGGCGGATCACGAGGTCAGGAGTTCAAAACCAGCCTGACATGGTGAAACCCCAGTCTCTATTAAAAATACAAAAATTAGCCAGGCGTGGTGGCGTGGGCCTGTAATCCCAGTTACTGGGGAGGGGGAGGCTGAGGCAGACGCAGGTGAATTGTTTGAACCCAGGAGGCGGAGGTTGCAGTGAGCTGAGATCATGCCACTGCACTCCAGCCTGGGCAACAGACTCTGTCTAAAAAAAAAAAAACCCAGCTGGGCGTGGTGGCACAAGCCTGTTACTCAGGAGGCTGAGGCAGGAGAATTGCTTGAACCCAGGAGGCGGAGGTCGCACTACTGCACTCCAGCCTGGGCGATAGAGCAAGACTCTGTCTTAAAAAAAAAAAAAAAAGTTTTTCACCTACTAAACTGGTAGAAAGAAAAAACAAGTAACACTTAACAAGGTATTGGGAAACAAGCACTCTCACACCCTCCAGGTAAGGATTCCAAAGCAAAGCTTCTCTAGAAGGTATGGTGGCTTGTACTTGTAATCCCAGTTACTCAGGAGGCTGAAGCAGGAGGATCACTCAAGCCTGAGAGGTTGAGGCTGCAGTGAGCTATGACTTTACCACTGCCCTTCAGCCTGAGAGACAGAGCAAGACCCTGTCTCAAAAAAAAGAAAGAAAAACCCTAAAATTGTGCACAACTTTCGACTCATTCATTCCAATTATAGAAAACTGTCCTGTAGCAGTTATCATTGATTTAATAAATAAATAAATAAATTAAGCTATAGGGATGGCCATCATGGGAATAAAATTTGGAAAAAACAAGTGACTAAAAATTGTGTAAAGCTTTTGATGTATATTTTTAAAATACAGCAATTATAAATTATGTTGTGGGAAAAATATTAATGGGAAAATGCTCCAAATATAATGTTAAATGTAAGAGACAAGCCCACCCCATGATCACCTGGGCCTCATTATCCTTATCTACACAGGCAGAGCATGTCTGAACATGGCTGGGAGTGTTTTTATACTGCTGTTACAGGGCTGAAGAAGGGAAGGGGTCGATCATGTTAAAAATAAAGAAAAGGGAGACTGGAAGGCAGCTGGATAAAGGGACAGTCTCCAGAACGGAGTAAAGACCCCTTCCTGGGATGCGACAGGAGGAGAAGGTGGGAGTGGGTGAGGGCGGGGACCTGGGCTGATGAACATGGGCAGGTCTAAACAGCCAGGGTCACAGAGCAAGAACCTCCAGCAGCTAGAGCAGGTTCAGTGGCTTGATCAGGTGCCAAAAATAGCATAGGGCGCACTGGAGTGCAGGTGTCAGAGGTGTAAACAAGAGGCAGACCACTGCTCTTGGCTCTTTTGCTGCTCTCCCTCCCCACTAGAATGCCCACCAGGATGGCTGTGCCGGCAACACCAGCCCTCTGGACTAGAGAGGAGCTACCTTCCTAGCTGCCACTGTGACAGCTGGCCCTGGACCCTGGAAGGGCAGACCAACCCACAGTCAGGAGGTCCTGGCCCAGCCCCAGCCCAGGCACCAGCACCCAAAGGCAAAAAGCAACTCAGAAAAACAGAGGTTAATAACTTGCAAGTTAAAATAAGGTACATACACACATACTTGAACATAAAAATTGTTTTAATTTATATTAATAAAAGGAAGTGCTCTTAAACAATAATTCATCTGGGTCTTCTTGTATAATACAAAATTCTTCCATGGGGATCTGATGATTTGGGGGCCAGCAACTCTTCTCACATGTGTAAACTAGAATTGTTCCAAATTCCACAGAAAGACCTGAAAAATACAATGTATTCAGGCTTCCAGCAAAAAGAGTTATGAGACTGATGTTACTAAAAGGAGTGATTTTACCTTACAAGCTGAAAAAATAATTAGGTAAAGCAAAAACAGTGCTTACTGCTTTCAGCTATAACAGAATCACAGTCTATCCTATAATAAGTGAATATTGATAAAAAGCAGAATTAATTTAAAGTGGAAGGAAAATGTACTTTAAAAATAAACAAAAATTTCAACAAGTGTTCATCACAACTGTCTAGATATCTGATGTTGAAAATCTATATTAAAATGTATCAGAGCCTTTGGCTAGGTGTGGTGGCTCACACCTGAGTTCCCTGCATTTTGGGAGGCCGACGGGGAAGGACAGCTGGAGCCCAGCCTAGGCAACATAGTGAGACACCTGTCTCTACAAAAAAAAAAAAAAAAAAAAAAAGTTATAAGAAAAAAAAAAAAAAAAAAAAAAAAAATATATATATATATATATATATATATATATATATCTCATATAGCCTGGTTGACATAGTGAGACTTTACTAAAAAAAAAAAAAAATTCACTGGGTGTAATGGTGCACACCTGTAGTCCCAGCTACTTAGGAGACTAAGGCAGGAGGATCACTTGAGCCCAGGAGATAAAGGCTGCAATGAGCTATGATCGTACCACCATACTCTGGCCTGGGTGACAGAGGGAGACCCTGTCTTTAAAAAATTAATAAATAAAATAAAATAAAAATAAAAGAGAAATATATGGCCGGGCGCGGTGGCTCACGCCTGTAATCCCAGCACTTTGGGAGGCTGAGACGGGCGGATCACGAGGTCAGGAGATCAAGACCATCCTGGCTAACAAGGTGAAACCCCGCCTCTACTAAAAAAATACAAAAAACTAGCCAGGCGAGGTGGCGGGCGCCTATAGTCCCAGCTACTCGGGAGGCTGAGGCAGAAGAATGGCGTGAACCCGGGAGGCGGAGCTTGCAGTGAGCTGAGATCCAGCCACTGCACTCCAGCCTGGGCGACAGAGCTAGATTCGGTCTCCAAAAAAAAAAAAAAAAAAAAAAGAGAAATATATATATCATAGAACACACTACTGCCAAAAAAGGATAAGGATTCAGGAAAAAAAAAAAGAAAGAAAAAAAAAACCCTAAGAGTTTATAGAAAATTATCAATGAATAAAGCCATAAAAAAAAGCATACCAAGAAAACATAAGCAATAAGAACTCCCGATGATATTAGAACAGAAAAGCAGGAGTCAAAAGGATGACGTAGGCAATGATTTGCAGCAGCAAAGGAGAAATACGTTGTTTAAAAATGTATGCATTGGCTGGGCACAGCATATTGGCTCAGGCCTATAATCCCAGCACATTGGGAGGCTGAGGCAGGAGAATTGCTTGAACCTGGGAGGTGGAGGTTGCAGAGAGGAGAGATGGTGCCACTGGGCAATGGAGCAAGAGTCTGTCTCAAAAAACGAAAGAAAAAAAAAATGAAAAAACGGCAGAGTTTATTAACTGGTATATGACCTTCTTCTAGGAGAATGTGACTGGTAAGGGAAAATCGCCTCAAGTGAGCATGTCTACAACTCCAGTAAACACACTGCGCATGCGGCCTCTCCCAAGTGCTGGCGGGCCACTATGCCCATCCCAAGGGAAGAAACAAGAGAAGTAACACAAGACCCGGGAAGTACAAAATCCCAAGTCAAAGGTCAAAAATGGACACTTCAATCTCTCAGGTTGCCTCGTTGGCCCCCTCTTCCAACTGTATTTACTTCCTTTCGTTCCTGCACTAAAACTTTTTAATAAGTTTTCACTCCTGCTCTAAAATTTGCTTTGGTCTCTCCTCTGTCTTATGTGCCTCAGTCAAATTCTTTCTTCTAAGGAGGCAAGAACTGAGGTTGCTACAAACCCCTACAGATTTGCCACTGCTAACAGTATTGTGGCAAAAATGTTAGTTACAAAGGGGGGAAAAATCAGACCACCCTCATACCTCTACAAAGCTACATTCCATGCAAAAGACATTTCTATATAAGTGAAAAATCTCAGAGATCAGAATGCCCATAAGCCCTTCCAGAAAAATATATTTCCCAGTGAGACTGAACCACCAGATGACAGGAGGCACCAGGGCAATGGCTGGCAGGGCTTTCACTGTCAGAAGACAACACAGGGGTCTACAAGGTTCTGAAAAGAGAAAGTGGGATTTAAAAATTTTATACATGGGTTGCCCCTCAAATATGAAGCCACATTACCGTGCACAATCTGAAGCAAGGCACTTCTGAGCCCTCCTAAAAGCTATTACTTGAGAAAATCCAGCTAATGAAAAAAGGATCAAAATAAAACAGGAATAAAAAAGCTCATTTTAAGAGTGGTGATGAACACTGAATCCATTTACACATAGAATTAAGGCTATCCAAACAGCTGTGATAATTATGATACTGGCTGGGCGCGGTGGCTCATGCCTGTAATCCCAGCACTTTGGGAGGTCAAGGTGGACAGATCACTTGAGGTCAGGAGTTCGAGACCAGCCAAGATGGAGAAACCCCATCTCTATTAAAAATACAAAATTAAGGGCCGGGCGTGGTGGCTCACGCCTGTAATCCCAGCACTTTGGGAGGCCGAGGTGGGCGGATCACAAGGTCAGGAGATCGAGACCATGGTGAAACCCCGTCTCTACTAAAAATAGAAAAAATTAGCCGGGCGCAGGGGCGGGCGCCTGTAGTCCCAGCTACTCGGGAGGCTGAGGCAGGAGAATGGCGTGAACCCGGGAGGCGGAGCTTGCAGTGAGCCGAGATTGCGCCACTGCACTCCAGCCTGGGCGACAGAGCGAGACTCCGTCTCAAAAAAAAAAAAAAAAAAAAAATTAGCAGGGTGTGGTGGTAGGCGCCTATAATCCCAGCTACTCGGGAGGCTGAGGCAGGAGAATCGCTTGAACCTGGGAGGCAGAGGTTGCAGTGAGTCGAGACAGTGCCACTGCACTCCAGCCTGGCTGCAGATTGAGGCTCCGTCTCAAAAAGAAAAAAAAAGATACTGGGTCCGGGCGTGGTGTGGTTCATGCCTATAATCCAAGCACTTTGGGATGCCGAGGCAGGTCAGGAGTTTGAGACCAGCCTGGTCAACAACAGTGAAACCTGTTTCTACTAAAAGTACAAAAAATTAGCTGGGTGTGGTGGTGGGCACCTTTAATCCCAGCTCTTCATGAGGCTGAGGCAGGAGAATCACTTGAACCTGGGAGGCAGAGGTTGCAGTGAGCTGAGATTGCGCCACTGCACTCCAACCTGGGCGAAACTCCATCTCAAAAAAAAAAAAAAAAAAAAAAGATACTGAAATATTTCAAGGTAGGAATAGGGTATGAATTTCCTTATCTACTATGGTAAGGTGCCAGATGCATACTATCTAAAACTGAAACATAGGAAGAATGTAATTTTCTGTTAACAACAGAAGCACCTTTCAGAAACTTGGGCCTCTTGGGTAAAGAACCTATTACCAAAAGTCCAGGCCAGGCGCGGTGGCTCACGCCTGTAATCCCAGCACTTTGGGAGGCCAAGACGGGCAAATCACGAGATCAGGAGATCGAGACCATCCTAGCTAATACGGTGAAACCCTGTCTCTACTAAAAAAAAAAAAAAAAAAAATTAGCTGGGCGTGGTGGTGGGCACCTGTAGTCCCAGCTCCTAGGGAGGCTAAGGCAGGAGAATGGCGTGAACCCAGTGGGCGGAGCTTGCGGTGAGTGGAGATCGTGCCACTGCACTCCAGCCTGGGCAACAGAGCAAGACTCCGTCTCAAAAAAATTCCAGTAACTGCTTCACTTATACTTAACATTCCTTCTGTTAATTTGTACAAAAATTTATTCTAAGACTTTTAATTACCATGTTAGTGAATTTCCCTATTTTAGGAAAATTATTTTCATCTAGCCATCCATACATTCATCTAACTTGCTGTTTGTCTTTAAGTCAAAAATGATTATTGGAATAATGGTTATTAACATTGATAATAGTTGTAATTTCTGGCCAAGCATGGTTCATGCTTGTAATCACTTTAGGAGGCCAAGGCAGGAGGATCGCTTGAGTCTAGGAGTTCGAGACCAGCCTGGGCAACATGGCGAAACCTTGTCTCTACAAAAAATGCAAATTCCAGCCTGGCCAACACAGTGAAACCCCATCACTACTAAAAATACAAAAACTAGACGGGCATGGTAATCCCAGCTACTGGGGAGGCTGAGGGAGGGGAATTGCTAGACCCCGGGAAGTAGAGGCTGCAGTGAGCCAAGAACGTACCACTGCCCTCCAGCCCAGGCAACAGGAGAGAGACTCCATCTCAAAAAATAAATAAATCAATAAATATATATATATAAAAAAAAGACTGGCTGGATTACAAATTTCTTTTTCTGTTTTTTGAGACAGAGTCTTGCTCTGTCACCAGGCTGGAGTGCATTGGCGCGATCTTGGCTCACTGCAACCTCCACCTCCTGGGTTCAAGTGATTCCCCACCTCAACCTCCCAAGCAGTTGGGACTACAGGCACATGCCACCATGCCCAGCTAATTTTTTATATTATAGTAGAGACAGGGTTTCACCACACTGGCCAAGAAGGCCCCGATCTCCTGACCTCGTGATCCGCCCACCTGGGCCTCCCAAAGTGCTGGGATTACAGGCATGAGCCACCACACCTGGCCTAAATTTCTTAAAATAATTTTTTAATTCCCAAATTTTCTATAATTTGCTTATGATATTTTATAAGTAAACAAAAGGTTTTTCATTTATTTAAAAATAATGCCAGAAATCCACAAACTCAAATTAATTTAGGCTTCTCACCTAAATTAGCACTCTTGAGCATGCTGACCAGTGCTGGCATAAGCTGAAACTCAAATATCCTTCGGCCTCCACATTGGCTGCAGGCTGGAAGCTCGGTGACTTCTGATGTAGGGCAGGTCAGAAAGAGTGGCTCTCCACTCCAGGAATACCTAGGACAAGGAAACAAAGAACCCCGAATTAGAGCCACACAAGTCACATTCTAGCATCTAAGGCCGTGCTTTGCAACCTTTCTTTGTTTCTTGCAGAAATCCTCCAAAGGCCCAAAAACCTAGCACCATGGCTGTAAAGCATAGCAAGATATCTGGAAATCTTGTCAGTGTTCGATTCAAAGTCTCAAAGGCACTAAGTCAACGTTCAATTGAATCTAGGTAAAGCTGTGACGAAGTTCAGACCCAGCTCCACTGCAGATTAAATGGAATCAGCCCTCCACACTACTGACCTTACAGAGGAAGGGGCATGCCTTAGAGCATAAGTCCCCAACCCCCAGGCCATGGACCCCCAGGTCATGGACCAGTACTGGTCGGTAGTCTATTAGGAATAGGGCCATGCAGCAGGAGGTGAGCAACAGGCAAGCGAGCATTACCACCTGATCTCCACCTCTTGTCCCTATGAGATTCTCATAGCAGCGCAAACCCTATTGTGAACTGCACATGCGAGGGATCTAGGTTGTGTGCTCCTTATGAGAATCTAATGCCTTATGATCTGAGGTGAACAGTTTCAACCCAAAACCATGCCCCACGCCCCCCACCTCAGTCTGTGAAAAAACTGCCTTTCACAAACCAGTCCCTGGTGCCAAAAAGGTCAGGGACCACTGCCTTAGAGGGAGTAAACATTCACTTCTGTTTTTGGGTTTTGTTTTGTTTTGTTTTTTTTAGATAGAGCCTTTTCCGTTGCCCAGGCTGGAGTGCAGTGGCACAATCACAGCTCACTGCAGCCTTGACCCTCTGGGCTCAAGCAATCCTCTGACCTCAGCTTCCTGAGTAGCTGGGAACAGATGCACATCACCATACCCAGCTAGTTTTTAAAAAAAATTTTGTAGAGACAGGGTCTTGCTCTACTGCCCAGGCTGGTCTCAAACTCCTGGCCTCAAGTGATCCTCCCACCTCAGCCTTCCAAAGTGCTATGATTACAAATGTGAGCCACCATATCCAGCTCACTTCAATACTACTGGTCTTCGATATATAATTTCTGGTAATCATTTTAAAAGTTACTAAACATGCAAAGAAGCAGGAAAATTTAACCCATAAAGAAAGTCAATGCAAGGAGACCCATGGACAAGATGATAAATTTATCAGACAAAAACTTTAAAATACCAATAATAGGCCGGGCGCGGTGGCTCACGCCTGTAATCCCAGCACTTTGGGAGGCCGAGGCGGGCGGATCACAAGGTCAGGAGATCAAGACCATCCTGGCTAACACGGTGAAACCCCATCTCTACTAAAAATGCAAAAAATTAGCCGGGCGAGGCGGCGGGCGCCTGTAGTCCCAGCTACTCGGGAGGCTGAGGCAGGAGAATGGCGTGAACCCGGGAGGCGGAGCTTGCAGTGAGCCGAGATCGCGCCACTGCACTCCAGCCTGGGCGACTAAGCGAGACTCTGTCTCAAAAAAAAAAAAAAAAAAAACAAAAAAAAAAAAAAATATATCAATAATAAATACGTAAAAAAAAAAAAACAAAAAAAACCCTAGTGGAAAAGGTAGACCAGGTGCAGTGGCTCACACCTGTAATTCCAGCACTTTGGGAGGCTGAGGCGGGTGAATCACCTGAGGACAAGAGTTCGAGATCAGCCTGGCCAACATGGTGAAACCCCATCTCTACTAAAACTACAAAAATTAGCCGGGCACAGTGGCAGGTGCCTGTAATCTCAGCTGCAGGGGAGGCTGAGGCTGAGGCTGCAGAATCACTTACACCTGGAAGGCAGAGGTTGCAGTGAGCTGAGATTGCTTCACTGCAATCTAGCCTGGATGACACAGCGAGACTCCTTCTCAAATAATAATAATAATAATAATTATACAAAAATTAGCCAGACATAGTGGTGCACGCCTGTGGTCCCAGCTGCTTTAGACGGTGTGGCAGGAGGATCACTTGAGCTCAGGAGTCTGAGGCTGCAGTGAGCCATGATTGCACCACTGCACTCCAGTCTACGCAACAGAACAAGACCCAATCTCTAAATAAACAAAACAAAAAAACAAACAAAAAAGCAACATAAAGAGTTAAAAAAAAGACAAAAAAGGGAACAAAATAGCAAACTAAAAATACTCAAGTCACCGACAAGCAGGTTCAATAAAAGGAATACAGAAACAAAATCAAAAATCTCCCCACCAAATGCAAAGCCAGGTGTGGTGACAGATGCCTATAACCCTAGCACTTTGGGAGGCTGAGGTGAGGGAATTGCTTGAGTCCAGGAGTTCAAGACCAGCCTAGGCAACATAGTGAGACGCCCATCTCTTTAAAACAAAAAGGAAAGAAAAAAGAAATGGAGGAAGAAACAATAACAGAATAAAATTAACCCAACATGGCAGGGTGCAGTGGCTCATGCCTGTGATCCCAGCATTTTGTGAGGCAGGCGGGTCACCTGAGGTCAAAAGTTTGAGACCAGCCTGGCCAACACAGCAAAACCTGTCTCTACTAAAAATACAAAAAAATTAGCCAGGCATGGTGGTGTGCACCAGTAATCCCAGCTACTCAGGAGGCTGAGGCAGGAGAATTGCTGAACCTGGGAGGCAGAGGTTGCAGTGAGCCAAGATTGTGCCACTGTACTCCAGCCTGGGCAACAGAACAAGACTCTGTCTCAAAATAAATAAATAAATAAATAAATAAATAAATAAATAAATAATCCAACAATACCAATGATTAAAGAGACTGCATATTCCGTGTTAAAAAAAATCATAACTGTTAAGTTGAACTTCATCAAAATTTAAAGCCATCTGTCAGAATCTGTTTGAATGCTAAAAAAATTAAACTGAAAAAGGACTTGTACTCTTGACCATATGAAGAATTCCTACAACTCAGTAACACAAACACAAACAATATGGCAAGAGATTTGAATGACGCTTTATCCAAGATGATATACAGAGATGGAAAACAAGCACTTGAAATGATACTCAACATCATTTGACATTTGAGGAAATGCAAATTGAAGCCACAATAAAATGCCACTACACACCTTCTTAAATGGCTAAAATTAAAAACTGAACATCCCAAGCATTAGCAAAGATATACAGGGAGTAGAATTCTTAAAAAAACAGCTAGTGGGAACAGAAATGGCATAACCACTTTGGAAAATGGTTTGGCCTGTTTCTTAACAAGTTAAACATGCATATACCACATAACACAACCATTCTATTCCTAGGTATCTACCCCCACAAAATCAAAACATGTCTTACAAAGAGATGTAAACAAATGTTCATAGCAGCTTTATTTATAATAGCCAAACACTGGAAATAACCCAAATATCCATCAACTGCTAAATGTATAGTGGCACATCCATACAATGGAATATGACACAGTGGTCAAAAGGAATGAACTATTGATACATGCAATAAGAATGAATCTTGAAGTATGCTAAGTGAATAAAACCAGACCAAAAAAAAAGTATATTCCGTGTGACCTTATACACTTTCACAGGAAATGCACTAAGGTGCGACAGAAAGATGATCAGTGGTTGCCTGGGGATTGGGGGAGCAGCACGGGACAGGGTTGGCAAGAACTTGCGAAGGAGTATGAGGAAACTTCTGGCAGGGAGGAATATGTTTACTGTCTTGACTGTTGTGATTTCAGGGTTGTATACAGATGTCAACTTATCTAAGTGCACACTGTAAAAATATAGGCAGTCTGTTGTATGTCAATTGTACCTCAATAAAGCTGCTGAAAAATAAATGTAAACAGACACACTTCACTATAGAAGATACATAGATGCCAAATGAGCACATGGGAAGATGCTCAACATCATTTGTTATTAGGAAAATGCAAATTCAAACCACAAGGAAATACCACCACCACCTACTAGAATGGCTACAATTTAAAAGATTGACAATATTTTTAAAACCACCACCAGGCTAGGTTTCTCAATGCCAACCATTCCTATACTCCCCGTATTTCAGTATTTGCATATTTAGTTCTTATTTCATTAAGGAAAAATTCCCAATTTTATCTTTGAATATTGTTTCTGATCCATCCATTAGGTTCTCTATTTTGGAGACCAATTCTCCTCATAGTAAATACAATTATGAACCCTTGCTCAAGTCTTTATACCAGTACTTTGATTTTTAGCCAAGTCTATTATGTTCCCTAATTTTTTTTTTTTTAAGACAGAGCCTCACTCTGTTACCCAGGCTGGAGTGCAGTGGCGCAGTCTCGGTCCGCTGCAAACTCCTCCTCCTGGGTTCAAGCAATTCTCCTGCCTCCGCCTCCTGAGTAGCTGGGACTACAGGCGCCCGCCACCAACCCCAGCTAGTTTTTCTATTTTTAGTAGAGATGGAGTTTCACCATATCGGCCAGGCTGGTCTGGAATTCCTGACCTTGTGATCCGCCTGCCTTGGACTCCCAAAGTGCTGGGATTACAGGTGTGAGCCACCACGCCCGGCCTATGTTCCTTATATTCTATATGTATTAGATACGTAATGTCATGGGGCTTGGTTTCTTTAGCAATTCAATTTCCGATTCATACATAGTTACTTTATTTTCTCACCTTTGAGCTCTTGTTTTATGGAATCTATTGTCTTATGAAGTTCTTATACATTTTGAAGCATCTGCTGGGACTGATGTGCTCCTTGGATTGTATTTTATTTTATTTTTTGAGACAGAGTCTCACTCTGTCACCCAGGCTGGAGTGCAGTGGCACGATCTCAGCTCACTGCAACCTCTGCCTCCCAGGTTCAAGCGATTCTCCTGCCTTAGCCTCCTGAGTAACTGGGACTATAGGCGCCCACCACCATGCCCAGCTACTTTTTGTATTTTTAGTAGAGACAGGGTTTCACCAGGTTGGCTAGAATGGTCTCGATCTACTGACCTCATGATCCACCCGCCTTGGCCTCCCAAAGTGTTGGGATTACCAGTGTGAGCCACCGAGCCCAGCTGGATATTTTCTAGCAGACTTGGTTCTTGAGCTTTTTGTATGTGCTCTTCATTTCCTTAACTATTCTTGCCACA